AATTGAAATAGATCTGTATATTATCAGAGCTTCAGTTAAGTGCCTTGAAGGACATGTGTGAGAACATGCAGTTGAATAAACAAAGGTGATCACTCATTGCTAGCAGGAAAGGACAGTCTTTAATGTTTTCTTTCTCTTTCCAGTTATACACATACCAGAACTAAAATAGCCTTTTAAAAGTAAGCAGATGTCTTGCGTTCCCAGCCCTGCTGATCGGCCTAATGCACTAGTTGATTGATCAGCCAGTAAAAGTTGCAGCTCTACTGCATACTAAACAAAAGGGATGGGAAACACTTGGCAGTTTGTTTTGTATGTGCTTCAGGGGGGGTGACTAGAGGAGAACACAGTGAAAGCCTTCATCTTGGTTGCATGGCTCTTCTGTCTTGACCTACTAGGCCGCAAACTAGGTGCATTGGGAAGGGTAGAGAGTGGCTTCAGTGGTCTGGAGAGCTGCCTAGACTAGCCAGCTGATTGCATTATGATCTGTTAGGGTTTAAAGCCAACTGCTCTGCAAACAGCCGGTACTTAGAAGCACAATACAGCATCATAACTCAAGACAGCAGAACAGAATTGCTTCTGAATTCACTTGAGAGTAGCTTTTTCTAGTTCATGTATTACTGAACAAAGTCTGACCGTTTCTGCTGCCAATTTTTGTAGCCTGGCTGGTTTCATTCTAAAAGGAGCTCTACAACTGCACTCTCCAGAGGAGAATTTCAGTTCTCTCTTTCTGCTGAGAAATTATTTTCCATTCTTATGGTATATAATCCTTGTTTTCTGGCTTTTCCACAACTGCTGCCCTTGCCCTGAGATCCCCTCTGCTGTTTTTCTTCTCCCTTCCACTTAGAATAATTCCATTAATTATGCAGAAATAAGGAATGTGGTATAATAATTATTTCGATTGCAGAAGCTGGGGGATTGAAAAGCTGAGAGTCTTGGCACAGGATTTTGGCTTTAAATCCTGCCATTGGGCCCAAAGATGCCTTTCTGTGAGCTATGTTATATCCTAATAAGCAAAGGATAGTTTTGGGTTCCAGGACATGGTTTGAATCTAACTGTTCTGCAATTCAAGGTCATGAAGATGCTGAATAGGGGACTGTGTCCGTTTCTTCACTGAGTTAATCTTCTTCATTCAGCTGCCCAGCACACTGTCTGAATTTGATTTCTCTGTATATGTTTAATGTTGTAATTTCTTACACATTGCTATTCAGCTCTAGTTGTTGAAAAGGAACTTAGCAAGCCTGAGAAGAGATCAGAGCTGCCTAAACCTTTGCAGAGCACACGACAGCTAAATGCCCCTCAGACTTCTGTGAGTCTGTTCTGACAGAGTCTCCATTGTTCCAGCTGTGTACACCCTGAACACTCTGTGTGTTCCTCAGCTCAATAACACTGCAAATTCTTCACTACAGAAATCCATGTTCTCCGATCAAAATTAATTGCTCATTCCATTTTAATAATTTGGGGGGGGGTTAGTGATGTGGAATTTTGGAGGGAGGTAGCTAAGGGAGGAAGTATAGCAGAGAGGAGGAGAGAAATGCAATGCGTTTCTAGAAACTTGCTCCCATTAAAAGAAAAGCAGAGACACTCAGGCTGCCAAATGTGGTACCACGTGTCAGATTCAGCATTTGTGTCATCACCCAAGACAAGTGGAATACATACAGTCCTGAGCATGTCAGTATGGATGAAGTAGTCAGTCCAAGTTGTGACTATAAAACCTATAAATGTGTGGGCCATTTATTTTTGTATACTTTAGGATATAAACATTCCATTTTGTAAATCTTGGGTTAGAAACTTTAAGAAATCTGCATAGTGAGAGAACAGTTGATTGAGAAAAATGCATTTCATAGACATCCCTTTCTGAAAACTTCTAAAAGTGCACCCGTCTTAAAGGGTTAACCAGAAAGTCAACTATTAGTGGTGCTGAACTTACTCTCAGCCTTCCATGTGTAATATGCGGATAGTAGTATTAACCAACTGAACAGTGTTTTAAAGTAGGACTTAGGATGCATGTGAAACACTTAACATACTCTAGAAGTGCCATATAATTACAATGTGTTAGTTTAATTATTGTTATTTTTGATACAATTAGCACAAATACCTTCTCTTACCAAGGGAAAGA